AACCCACCACCTTAGGTGCATGTGGCTGGTGCCTTAGCCACTTGAGCCACAGGTGCTGAGCCTGATGTCAGGAATTTCATCACTACATGTCTGTACTGGAAGTGAGGATAAGCGATGCTCTTTAGTGAGTGGATCCTAACCCACATCTCTGCCTCTAAGGCACAGTCATACTTCAACCACAGGAGTGAAAAATGTATGGACAAAAGCAGGGCTCCAACTTACTGCTCATGATGTTTGATTCATAAAACTTGGGGTCGTCACGATTCACCTCCTCGGGATTTTCACAAAACTTGTTGATGTTGTCTTCGATGTACCAGCTCTTGTTCTCATCAAACACAGCGAACACCACCTGCTGCTCCATGTCTGCTGCCCTCTGGAGGGGAAAGTGCTGAGTTCAGGGATTGACTTTATTTATTTATTTTTTTAATGTGTTGATTTTTTTATACACTTTGGAATGGTTAAGTCAAACTAATATAGCTTTCACCTCATTTACTTATTGTGTTAAGACATTTATGTTGTATACTTGGTAGATTTGTACCCTTACAATATGCTCGACAGGTGTGGTCCCACCATTTGCCGTCCCTCTATTGAACTTCCCTCCACCCCTCCTGTCCCCCTCTACTTCTCTCCTTCATCCTAGGCTATAGTTGTGACCTTTCACAAGAAAATGTGAGTAATTATAAATTGGTTTCATAAAAGCATTGAGTATATTGAATACTTTTTCTTCCATTCTTGAGATACTTTATAAGAATATGTTCCAGCTCCATCCATGTAAACATAAAAGAGCCAAAGTCTCCATATGTTTCAAGGCTGCATAATGGTCCATGGTATACATATACCACAATTTATTAATCCATTCATGGGTTGATGGGCACTTGGGCTTCTTCCATGACTTGGCAATTATGAATTGAGCTGCAATTCATAACTGGAACAATCTGGTACAAATCTTTGTTGCAAAGTGATTTTTGGTTTTTTGGATATATACCTAGTAGAGGAATTGCAGGATCAAATGGGAGGTCTACTTTTAGATCCCTGAGTGTTCTCCGAACTCCTTTCCAAAAGGAACGTATTAGCTTGCAGATTACCTGCAACACTGAGTTCTCAGAAACCAAAGAGGCACAGTCCTCGGGGTCATAGGAGCCTCACAATTCAGGTCTGGCAGTTAAGTTCATGAACTCGCCAGCATGCACTTGTGTTGGCAGCACTGAACAAACAACTCAGTAAGGTTTCATAACCTTGGTATGTCAGTATCTCACCGCTGTGTTCCTGTCGATGTGTGGTGGTGTCTTGCTGAGTGGCATTCATTATTGTTGCATGTTTTTGTGTGGCATCATGAGAATGTTGGAGCTTGAATTAGAGCAATGAACAAACATACACAAATTTCTTGTTAAACTTGGCAAGGGTGGAAGTAAAATCAGGGACATGTTTATCTAAGTTTATAGGATAATGCCATGAAAACAGCAGGGTATCAATGGCTTAAACTTTTTTCTGAGGGGAAGGGGTAGCATCATTGTTGACTAGAAATCAGGGCAGCCAGTAACAAGGAGAACTGACGAAAACATTGCAAAAATTCATCAAATTGTGTGTTAAAATCATTGGCTGACTGTGAGAAGCATAGAAGACCAAGTAAACATCGATAAAGAAACAGGAAAATCTTAACTGAAAATCTTGGCCAACAACTCATGGCTCTTGCATCACAACAATGCAACAGCTCACACAGCACTGTCTGTGAGGGACTTTTTTTTTTAGCTAGCAAAAAAATAACTATATTGGAACACCCTCCCAACTCACCTAATCTGGTCCCCATAACTTTTATCTCAAAAGATAAAGGAAATATTGAAAGGAAGACATTTTGATAACATTCAGGACATCAAGTGTAATACAATGACAGCTTTGATGTCCATCTCAGAAAAAAGTTCCAAAATTGCTTCGAAGGGTGAACTAGGTGCTGGCATTGATGCATAGCTTCCCAAGGGGGGGGGGAGTACTTCCAAGGTGACTGTAGTGATATTCAGGAATGAGGCATGTAGCACTTTTTCTAGGATGAGTTTGTGAACTTAATTGTCAAACCTTGCATGGTGGATGAAAGCCTATTCTGAGCAGATCAGAAAATTTAGAGACTAAAATATCCTCATAGGAAAAGTCTTGTTTCACCATGGCAACTGAAAATCTGTTTATATATGTAATTGTGCACCGTTCAACATGAATGACGGGCTGAATATGAGCCAAATAATTGCAAAAGATAAAACAGAGGACGGCAATAGGAAAGTCTTATGCCTTTCCTGTCTGTTTCCTTTTCTAGTTTGATAGGTCAGGATTTTCCAAATGCCCATGTCTGATTTTTCCAGCCATGTATTTTTGTTTGCTTTGATTATTAATATGAGACTATTGTTCTTTAATGGAGATAAGCTCAGAAGACCTGTGTTCACATTCTTCTGTATAATTTAATCTCAGCAGAGATGACCCATTATCTGGATCCAACTTCACCAGAAATTATGTCCCCCAGTGTACTTGCTTTCAGAGGATCGCTCCTATTTATCTCTATGGCAGGTCTCTAACGATGACAAAGATTGAGACAGAGCTGTACACTTTCACCAGATGGTATCTCACTGAGTTCAAAAACACTTGAAAACTGGAAAAAAAAATTTCATGAGGGGTTTTACCCATTTTATAAAGGAAGACATTCGGAGAGGCTACGTGAGTTGCTCATCACACAGCCAGTACCAACAGCCTGGAATCTAAACTAAAACCACATACGTTATTAGACTGTAGACTTGCCTTCTGCAGTGAGGGCCCAGAAGAAAATAGGCAAGATAAAAACCCATAAGAATAAATGTTACCACACAGTGCTATAGAGGGATAACTTATAGTTACTGTTCTCTGGAAGCAAATGCCTCATTATTTAGCAAGCGCACCAATCTAAAATGTTCTAGCCAGAAGAAATTCCCTTTCGAAAGGTGACTTTAAGGGCAAAATACCTGTATGCCTCGCTTGTCCAGAGATCTGCTCTTACAAATTAGAAGTAGTCCTATTAGCCCGGAGGCAATGTCCCTCGTGATGTCCACGTCACTGTAGTATGGCCTTGTTAAGCACTGGGCATCATTTTCTGTGGGTTCATCAAACTCTAGAATGTTCCACTTGTACGTGTAGGTTTCCCCTGGTTGAACTGCTCTGATCATGGTGTGACTGCCTGAAAGAAAATATATTGAAAGTTGTTTTCACTGGGAAAGTTATTTCATGATAATAAAATAAATAATTGGGCTCTCAGAACCGATGAATATTATAAAAGTAATACCTTTTTTTATATTAAACTCTTTCTGGACCCGAGATAGCATGTGGCCTTTAGATATTACTCCACTAGAGGCCACTATAACACTAATATTGATTCAAGATGCACTTGTAACCAATAAGGCAGACAAGATCTCAGAAATGAGAAGGATTGGGTTGTGATTTTTAGGGTACCCACATGTATAGTACCTGACTGTTGTAGTGATACCACTGGGCAAGGAGAACAGCCTCCCAGGGTTCACTCGTTTGATTCAGTAGAAGTGAGAGATTCAAACCTGAGTTGGAGGAAGAGTTGACTACTACTTCTTCATAAGGAGAGAAGGTCACTCCATGAGGGTAAATGCTGTAAGGACGGCTAGCCATATTTTTGAACGTGATCTGCAAAGTTAAATTTATAGTAGGATTTAAGGTCAACCATGAGAACTAATGTCCTAGGCTGCCAGCTTTGCATATGAACCTCCTGGCCGGTGAGTCATGCATGTGTGAGTGCACATACAGTGGGAAAAGTAGTTCTGAGGCCAGGCACTGGTGGATCATACCTATAATCCTAGCACTCTGGGAGGCTGAGGCAGGTGGATTGCCTGAGCTCACAGGTTCGAGACCAGCCTGAGCAAGGGCGAGACCCCATCTCTAAAAAATAGCTGGGCATTGTGGCAGATACCTGTAGACCCAGCTATTTGGGAGGCTGAAGCAAGAGAATCACTTAAGCCCAAGAGTTTGAGGTTGCTGTGAGCTATGATGCTATGGCATTGTACCAAGGGGGACAAAGTAAGACTGTCTCAAAATAAAACAGTTCTATTTATGTGAGCAGCAGCGTCCCTAGGTCACCTGAAAGGAGCCTCTGAGAGAGTTTTACCCACACATTGAGGTGGGAAATGGAAGGGGAATTCTGACCTTAGAGGGCAGGCGGGAGAAAAGGCATCTTCCTCACCGTACACCCACCCTCCCAAGCTCGTCCCCACAGCCTCCACCCCAACCTCGTTCAGCGTGGACCACGTCTCTCTTTGAATCAGCTCCGGCTCATCTCTAGACCATGATCGCTTCTCCTGCCCCTCAGCTCTCCTAGGACACTGACTTGGAAGCCATGTTCTTGAGGGGCGCACACACAAAGCCAGATCCTACATTCCTCATCAGGTATGTCTGTACTTGCTCAGAGCACCAAAAAGGAATCCACCACGAATGAAGCAAAAGAGGCAGAGAGAAAGGCTGTTTTGTCCTTTCATTATTTTTCCATGAAGAGAACAGTCTGGTCAGGGGCATTTATTAACGCAGGAGTCCTACTTAGGCTCTTTAATCTTCAAAAGAAGACTTTTCACTTTATCTTCTACTTGGTTGATTGTCAAAGAATTTAAATCTTCCTTAATCTGTAGATTATCTGCGTTCTGGGAGCTTGCCAAAGACAATAACCTTCAATTCTCTGCTGTCCACTCATTATCTATCTCAGAGACATGACATAGTATTTCAGGAGAACTATCTGAGGAAAACTCTGTGCTCTTGGTTCAAACCCAGCCCCAGCCCAAAAAAAAACTGTAAAAATAAACAACCGGGGGAGGCACCTGTGGCTCAAAGGAGTAGGGCGCCGGCCCCATATGCCGGACGTGGTGGTTTCAAACCCAGCCCCGGTCAAAAACTGCAAAAATAAATTCGCTGAGTACTTTACAATCTTTTGCTATTTAATTTCCTCCACAGCTCTGTATTTCTGTTACTTACTTTGAGTGTGTCTCTGACCTGCGCTCTGATCACAGGACCCAAAATCCCGTCTTCTTTGATATTGAGATTCTCTTCACGTTTGGTGAAGGACTCATCTTGGTACTGTTTGTAAACCACTTTCTTGTAATGTTTTCCAATTTGGTTTGAGAAGTTATCCAAGTGCAGAGACCTGTATTTTCTTAAAATGAAATGAAATTGAAAAAAAAAAATCAAAACTACTTTCTCAGATGGAGACCCCAGTAGGATGCAGAATCCCTCGTGGTTGGAAGTTCTACTCTTAGATTAGGAATTTTTAGAGAACTGGCATTTTAGCCAATGTAGTTTCCTGATGTTTTCTATCTAGTTGGGAACCCGGAAGCCTCTGAATTGTCTCCTGCATCATGATACAGTCACGGGGAAGTAGACAGAAGTAGGTACTTAGAACTTCCTGTTGCTCTCATTGCTAGCAGACCTTAAATTTCTTTGGGAAAAAGTGTACATTGATTGAAAGGTTTGGATATACTAGGAATTTTTCTAAAGTCTTTCCTACCACTTAATCCACGGCACCTTACTGGCTTTCTAATCACTAATGTGATTTCTCTAACTGCACTTTCACTGTCTTTATTAGTCATATTTCTGTGCTTTTGGGCAATCCTTCCACCATCCACCTAATCCTGGGCGCTGAAAAGCGACCTCCTTCACCCATCTTCTGCAGCACTGGGATAAAGAATTTGGGGGCAGCAACATAAACCACATTTCTTCTGTCCACTATCCTGCCTTAGTTTGCAGAAGCTTCATGATAGAATAACTATTTTATGCGTTTATTTTGCATAGTGAAAAACACGGAGTGTTACCACGAAGTCTTAAATTCTCATTTCATTTCTATCACTAATTACACAATTTTGGCCAAGTCTTTTTTTTTCTTAGTTTGAGTAGGAAATACTTTCACATGATTTTTATTCCTGTGAAAATTCTCACTGACATCTGATATCCCTTCAACGTGAACTCCCTAACACTTTCTCTCTCTCTGAATTTTCTAGGAAATTGCATTAGTTTCGTAGGTATAATCCCAGAATATCTTGTAATACTCAATATATGCTGATGGCATTTCTTGTCTTGAATGTTGTATCTTGTATTCATCTCTTGTAATTGCAGAAGTCAAATGTGACTTGAGTATTACAATTTCAATACGTTTTTTTCCTTTCTTAAAACGTGTGTACATCTTTTGGTACCCCTTGTATAATAACCATGTGTGAATATACTGCAATTTATTAAATTAACTTTTTTTTTTTTTTT